GGGGGGGGGGGGGGGGGGGGGGGGGGGATTCGTCTTGTGGCGTAGACTGTTTCGTTGAGGAACGACTAAAGCCAACGTTATATTGGTAAGAGTTCATAACCCATGGCCATTTCCTTCGAGGATAAGTAGGTAAGGAACGGAATTTGTAAGATAAAAGTAGCTGACGGAACAAACTCGAATCAGGATTTGGCAGTTTCCTCTGTTAAAAATATTAACGGTGAGCTACATAAAGCAGCGTGCTCCACATTCTTATCATTGGCCTGTAAATAAGTCGATCGGGAAAAAGAAGAAGAAAAAAAAAAGGGTTCTTATCCTACAACTCTCTTTATCGTTACGGCTCAGCTTATGCTATCATTATTTTGTATTCTGAGGTGAAGTTACAGTAACACACCTTTTATACTGCAGTAAATGAAGGCTAAGCGAGATGGGGGGAGGGGGGGGCTCCATGCGTTACAGTAATTCCAATACTTTCCCACCGTCCACCCCAGGTAAAATAAATCTGCCAAAAAATCAAATAAAACCTTCAGGGGGAGGTTGTGTTGCTTGTGCACGAGAACGATGAAGTCGTAAAAGCGTATCGTCAATTTCAGCCCCCAGACCTTGAAATTAAACTTTATGAAAGAGTAACTGGTTGTTTACATTCAGTAAATCATTTTGAGCGATATTTCGAAAACTGTGATGTTAGCTGATCTGTAAAACATGATCACAGAGAAACATTTAGGGAAGAAGAAAAAAAAAAAGCATGGGTTAGAGTAACTTGTATGCTCGAGGTACAGGTCAGAGGAGATATGTTAAGGCGATAAACAAAGCAGTTTTAGGTGTTCTTTTCCAGGTGCTTTTGGACTATTCAGTTATTATGGAACAGTTGTATAACGTTCATTAAAGTTTGACTTAATTAGCTTTATTTGAAGTTTTATAGATTGTCATTCTTTAATCAAAAAAGTTCGTCAGCTCGTGCGGACGTTTTAAGAAATAATTTCAACAAACTGGCCAAAATACTTTGGCCTAATTATATCTATCTATCAGTAGCTGTTGGTGGTGTTGTGTAATGGGTCTCTCTATCTATCAGTATCTGTCGGTGGTGTTGTGTAATGGACGTCTCTATCTATCAGTATCTGTCGGTGGTGTTGTGTAATGGACGTCTCTATCTATCAGTATCTGTCGGTGGTGTTGTGTAATGGACGTCTCTATCTATCAGTATCTGTCGGTGGTGTTGTGTAATGGACGTCTCTATCTATCAGTATCTGTCGATGGTGTTGTGTAATGGGTCTCTATCTGTCGATGGTTTTGTGTAATGTGCTCTCTATCTATCACTATCTGTCGGTGGTGTTGTGTAATGGACGTCTCTATCTATCAGTATCTGTCGATGGTGTTGTGTAATGTGCCCCTCTAGCTATCAGTATCTGTCGGTGGTGTTGTGTAATGTGCTCTCTATCTATCAGTATCTGTCTGTGGTGTTGTGTAATGGACGTCTCTATCTATCAGTATCTGTTGGTGGTGTTGTGTAATGGGTCTCTTTATCTATCACTATCTGTCGGTGGTGTTGTGTAATGGACGTCTCTATCTATCAGTATCTGTTGGTGGTGTTGTGTAATGGGTCTCTCTATCTATCACTATCTGTCGGTGGTGTTGTGTAATGGACGTCTCTATCTATCACTATCTGTCGGTGGTGTTGTGTAATGGACGTCTCTATCTATCAGTATCTGTCGGTGGTGTTGTGTAATGTGCCCCTCTATCTATCAGTATCTGTCGGTGGTGTTGTGTAATGTGCCCCTCTATCTATCAGTATCTGTCGGTGGTGTTGTGTAATGTGCCCCTCTAGCTATCAGTATCTGTCGATGGTGTTGTGTAATGTGCCCCTCTAGCTATCAGTATCTGTCGGTTGTGTTGTGTAATGTGCCCCTCTATCTGTCAGTATCTGTCGATGGTGTTATGTAATGTGCCCCTCTATCTGTCAGTATCTGTCAGTGGTGTTGTGTAATGGGTCTCTATCTGTCAGTATCTGTCGATGGTGTTGTGTAATGTGCCCCTCTATCTGTCAGTATCTGTCGATGGTGTTGTGGGTCTATCTGTGTATCAATATCTGTCAGTAGTGTTGTGTAATGGACGTCTCTATCTATCAGTATCTGTCGATGGTGTTGTGGGTCTATCTGTGTATCAGTATTCGTCTGTAATATTGTTTAACGGGTGTGTGTATCAGTGTTCGTCTGTAATACTGTCTAAAGGGCCTATCTGTGTATTAGTGACCTTCTGTAGTACTGTCTATAGTACTGTCTAAAGGGTCTATCTTGCATTAGTTACCTTCCCGATGCATCTAAAAATGTGCCTTACTTCTGAGCAGTGACTGTGCGTGTGTTTTTCTAACACTTGTTCTATTACCTCAATCAGACTAGAATACAGAACGATGACAGTAGAATGTTGGAAGAAGAAAGCCGTAGCTTGCTACTCTACAACAAACAAACAGTTTTGTTCGTTACCCATAGAGAAGTTTTTCTCTGACTCCAGGTTAATTCGAAATCTATAGTTAATATCTATTTTACTACAGGGCTGTATTATTATTATTACTCAATGTTTTTCCAGATTGTTGGTGATAGCTTTCTTCTCTACCTATGTATCAGTGTCCATCTGTAATGTTGTTTAACGGGTGTGTGTATCAGTTTTCGTCTGTAATACTGTCTAAAGGGCCTATCTGTGTATTAGTGACCTTCTGTAGTACTGTCTAAAGGGCCTATCTTGCATTAGTTACTTTCCCGATGCATCTAAAAATGTGCCTTACTGATCTAGAAAATCGAAAAAAGTCACATCCCAGGCACGTGATTTTCAAACAAACCCCAACGTTTTCGATAACGGACTATGCTATATTTTTATCACACTTCCGGACCTCTTTTACTTCTCGTGCTTTTAAAATGACGAAATGTTTTTACACATCGCGTTTTTTTTTGCTCGTGGTTTATGTTTGTA